ACAGTGCACCCCAGACAGAGACTGTGGGCGGGACCCGCATTTCCCGCCGTACGAACTCGTAAGCTCGCTCCACCTGTCCCGCCCGGCCCAACATGTCGACCACGCACGCGTAGTGCTCTGCGCCCGGCGTAATTCCGTATTTGCCCTTCATGGACTCGAAGATTTCCATCCCTACCCCTACCATGCCCCCCCGGCTGCACGCGGTCAGCACGCACACGAACGTCACGTAGTTCGGAGCGGGCCCCATCTCGCGGAAAAGCCCGAGCGCCACGTCAGCGTGCCCCTGGTGGGCGTACGCGCCGATCAGCGAGTTCCAGCAGATTAAATTTCTCTCCGGCATTTCCGAAAACGCCCTCTCGCAGTCCTCGATGCAGCCGCACTTCCCGTACATGTCGACGAGCGCGCTCCCGACAAACACGTTGCGCTCGACGCAGGCTTTGACGGCTAGGCCGTGGACTGCCCGGCCCAAATCTAGTGCGGCCAAGCCCGCGCACGCGCTTGCCACGCTCGATACCATGAAGTCGGTCGGCTCGACCCCGGCTCGTCTCGCCTCACGGAAAAGCGTGCATGCTGCTTCACCGAGATGGTTCTGCTCGTAGACCACCAACATCGAGCACCAAGAAACTGCACTACGGTTGTTCATGCTGTTAAAAACTTTCTCCGAGAATCTGAATTCGCGGCATTTCCCGTAGAAATCGATCAGCCCGTTTGAGACCGTGACGTCTGACTCGTGCCCAGCCTTGATCAGGAATCCGTGCAGCTGCTTCCCTTGGGTAGAGAGGCCGGTGTCCGAGCAAGCATTCAGGAAGGCGCAGAACGAGATTGAGTTTGGTTCAACTTCCTCTTCGCGCAACAGGTTTACGAACTTCAGGGCTGCCTCGCGAGGCTTACCGTTGAGGACCTTGTTCGTGATGCAAGCGTTCCAGGTGGCGATGTTCCTCTCGGGCATTTTGTCGAACACCTTGTCGGCGTCTGTAAGGAGGCCCGTCTTGGAGTACATATCGAAGGCGCTGCAGGCGACGAACACGTCGTCGGAGAGGGTGAGCTTGATGGCGGAGGCGTGGAGTTGGCGGCCGAGGGAGGGGGAGCGGAGGGAGGTGGCGGCCTTGAAGAGGCAGGGGAAGGTGAACTCGTTGGGGTGGATGTGTTCCCGGCACATGTCGGAGAAGAAGGAGAGGGCGGAGGGGAAGTGGCCGTTCTGGACGCTGCCGGATATGAGGGCGGTCCAGGTGACGACAGACCGGAAATGGGCTGGTGTGAGGGAGAGCAGGGAGCGGGCCAAATCGGGTCGGTCGAGCTTGGCGTACATGTTGACCAGGTGGTTGGAAAGGAAGGAGTTGAGGGCCATGCCCAGGGTTTTGACGACCTGGCCGTGTGCGGCCCGGCCGAGGAAGGGGGAGCGGGCGGACACGGCGGACTCCACCAGGGACGCCAGTGATTTGGGGCTGAGGGATGACATAATTGGCCGGACTTACGGCGGTGCTGCTCATTTAGTATCAAGGGTTGGTAATTTAATAATTGTCTGGTGTTGATAGAGGAAGATGAAATTCATTGTTTGCAGTAATAGGATCTGATTTTCATCGAGGCGGCCACCCTGGAAATAAGTCTCCAGAATTTCGAACAAGGAAGCGAGGGAGGGAAATGACCTGATTTTTTCTTTTGTTTCCGTTCTTTGTTTTTTTCAAAAATAAAAATAAAAATAAAAAATATTGTTTTAAATTATTGAAGGACATTTCCACTCATTTATGGCCTTGTTTGGAAACACTTTTCAAATGGACTTTTGGATCCAAAAGTCCATTTGAATAAATATTTATGTTTGGTGTTAAATAATGAATGGACTTATGGATAAGTTGTTTCTCCAAAAAGTCCATTTTGTATAAGTAAATAATTGAGACTTTTGGAGAAGTCCATTTTGGATAAGTCCATATCTTAAATGGACTTTTTCAGAAGTGCTCCCAAACAAGCACTATGTGCCCAGGAATACGGTAACGGGAGGGAATTACTATTAGGGAAATGAAATTTGTTTGGCATTCTCTTCTTTTTATTAACTAGTACAGATCCCGTGCGATGCACGGGTGAACAATTTTCAGACTATTTGTCAAGCCTTGTAAATGCTTGGTAAAAAGATAAATGCTTAACTAAATTAAATACCATTTGTTATGTCACTGAGCTGTGAACATTAAACAATATACAATAAGCATTACACCATTTTGTTTTTTATTTTGTGTGGTGAAACTCTTCAAACTTTTAATTTATTATTATTGTGCTTTGGTTGTATTTATTAATTTTTCGTCAATTCTATATGAAGATATACACAAGTACTTGATAGTTTAACTTTAACCATAACTGAAAATGTTATATTGTTGAGTTTTCTCATGAGTAAATTTTTACTCAATCATCAAAATAGAATAGATCTATGGTACTTAAAAGTGTTGTTTAGTACAAATCCAGTAAGTAAACAAAATATTCATTTTTTCTCTGTGATTTTTGGGTAAAGTTCTTCGATTTAATATTATTGTCTTATAAATATTTTGAAAACAATAATATTTTATATTCTCTTAATAAATTATTAAACGCGTTAAATAATTTATTAAAAATCGTTAAAGACAATATCGAGAAGATTTTATATATTTTGAAAACAATGATATTTGCGAATAAATAATATATTTACGAATGTATTTACGATTATTCTTGAAAACAATTATATTTTCTATTTACGAATAAATTATTAAACGCGCTAAATAATTTATTAAAAATCGTTAAAAAAGAATATGTGATACAGTAGAATATAAAAGATGAATACATAAGGCTAAAGATTCTTACCCCAAATCCATTATAGAGAATACAATCATTTGTGTAGGAACTCCCTTGACAACTTTCATTTGAATAGATTGTATTGAAACAACCAATCCAATGATATCTACAAAAATATAAAATAATTTTATTACAGATTTTAAATAAAAAAAAAACAAAATATTAAACACAAAAATTATAACGTACCAAACAACATGGCTTCCTCAATGTTACGAACATCTATCAAAGTTAGAAAATTTCTAAAGTCAAAACGATACATAGGAAAATCACCCCTCCATTTGACAATCTAGTTTGGCCATGGATAATGATCCTCCATTTTCCTATGGTCGATTTGTAGATGTTGATATTACTTTCAACTTGATAATTTGTCAAGACATAGGCGCCACCTACTTCAATATCGCCGATGAATTTTTGGATATTGACAGGTCAAATTACGCCAGTAATTCGTAAAGCCTAAGACAATAACATATATTCAATAATTCAATAAATGAAATATAATATATGATGCATAACATGATGCATTGTAATTTATATTTAAATGTAAATTTAAATAATAATAATAAATTAATATGTTACCTCAGAATCGTGAAAGATAATCTCAAGAACATTTCGGTAATTTTGTATATCTTCTACTCGTTGGAACATCCTTATTATGCGTAGCTTGATTGGTGGCTTTTTGGATCTTTCGATATCCTTGATGACTCTAAAATTCAAAGGCATTATGAATGGTGTTGTAAAAGCTTGTAGGAAAAATTTTATCGTGGAATGTATTGTATGTTGATTATTTGTTGTTCAAGGTTGGTGGTGTTTATATAGTCAATTGTATGTACGGTGTGGCACTCACGGGTTTCCCAAAAATATTTACGTCATCATATTTATTTGATTCACATAAATCCCACATAAATTGATATTGATATTGATATGTACGGTTTTAGTAAAGAAAATACAAAATCCCACATAAATCGGATATATATCTCGAGATTGGTACAAAAAACAAAATAATAAGGAATAATTATTAATGAATTAGTTGACAAAATCCGATTACTTTGATAAGGATATTTCGATTGATTTGTGAAAAAAAAAAAAAAAAAAAAATCCCATAAAATTTGGTTTCATTTGTTATCAATATTCTAACTTCTCAAAATCCAATATAATTGCTAAGGCAAGTTGCACCGAGTATCTGCGAAAGTTTGTTCAAATTATGAAATTTGTGAACAAACAAAGAATCCCACAAAATATGCTATCAAAGTTAACAGTTATACATGATTTATTATTTTTAAATTGGATCATATCTCTATAGATTAATACAAAATATGGGATAAAAAGGAATACATGCTGAAAATTTGGTAACAAAGTCCGATTACGTTGGCACGTCATATTCTGAGTATGAACATTGTGAAAATAACAAATTCCCACAAAATTTTGTATGATTTATTAATTGCATTACGTAAGAGAATTGTGAATTATTTTTAATATTAAAATCTCATGAATGTGTGGGTCCTTTTGATTGTTACTTAAATAAGTAAGTCAAAACTTTATTTTTTAAGTCAACCTTACTAATTTTATATTTTTCCAACAACCTCTTTATATTACTATAGATTTTATTATTATAAATTATTAAAGGTCATCTCTATTTATTTATATGCCTAGGAATGAATAGTGGTATTAACTAATGAAACGAACTACACTGCACATATCCGAATTAGATTGCTTGAGCTTCAGCCTGACAATAATACGAAGGCTTAGAAAGATTAGCCAATCGAAAAATCCCATAGGATCAGGCCGAACACCTACTATAGTCGAGCCGAGCATGAAAGCCAAGAAAAGATTTAATTGTGATAAGGGGAGCAAGAGATCCGAGGAGGCTTCATCAAGCTCGATGGAAAGAGTTGAGTCAATCTTCACCTATCACATCATTGACGAAAAAACTCTCACAAGATATGTCAAAATTACGATCGTCCTTCCGAAGACAAATAAAAAATTAGGCCCAATTGGAACACGACATGTGCAAAATTGGGAGAATTGAGCAAATGCATCATTCCAACACTGGAAAGTTAATTTTTCGTCCGGAATAAAGTATAACATTTGTGACTTACATAACTCTTTTTAGATGACCGTGCGGATTTCATTTATCTTCTACACCAACGTTAATTTTTTAATTAAAGATTGACAATTTTATTCTTATGGACATTTCAATTGATCATATATTCCTAAAAAGTATAAAATGGACAAATCCATAGAAAATAAATCTACTTCATATTTCTTTTTACTTAGATCAGCAAAAAAACGTATCAATATACAAGGCCAAATACAAAAACTTCCACCTCAAAAACCACGTATATGACTAAATTAAGACCGCGCAGCCTTTTGACTTCTCCAACGTAGAACAAATGCCAGCAAGGTCCCCAACACGCACAAACAACCCCAAATCAGAAACGTTGTCCGGTAGCACGCTTGCCCCACGCAGCTATCTTCCCCTTTTGCCCTTGCCTCGTTGTAAAGCATGGCTGCCAAGTACCCGAACCCGAACGACCCGATTGGGATGTTAAGCACCACGATGTTGTGGTTCACTCCGAAATTGGCGGCTCCAAAGAGCTCTGTTGTCGTGGTCACGGCCACCGAGGTTATTGCGCCCGTGCAGACACCTATGACTGCAGTGGACAAATAGAGCGCCACGTCACTGCGGCTTATCGCCAGCAAGAAGAAGGCCACGCACATAGGGGCCATCATGGCCCCGATGCCTGTCACAGTCGAGACACCCGCTGCCAGCTTTTTCCTGAAAAAGTGAGGTCGCGACACGTGTCAGAAATATATTATGAAATTTTACATACTTTTTGACGAGTGTATAATTGGCTAACCAATAATTTATCTGCAATCATACTTTTAAAAAACAACATAAAAGAGTTACAACATTTCTTAATATAAAGATATATTTTACTCAAGAAAATATGATTAGTCGACTTGTACCTCAAGTCCTCAACTAAGAATTTATGTTCTCTGAATTGTACAAAGATGGTAACAGAAAATTAGGCCTAAATATACCGTGCAAGGTATGGAAGTCTAGCTCACGTAAGAATTTATGTTTTCAGAATTATATAAAGATGGTAACAGAAAATTAGGCCTAAATGTACCGTGCAAGCTATGGAAGTCACTAGAACGGGCAGTGAAGTGTGACCTTGGGATTTGTTATGAACTTGGAGACACACCCAATTAATTTATTGGGCACAAATATTGATTTTATTTTTTTATTTATTTGGCTAGCTATGCTAACAAAGAATGAGAATCAAATATTTTAGGCTCATTAGTGCATGAGTTAACAGATTTCTAACTCCTCGGCCTGCATTGAATAGGCAACGTACAATCACTGTCCAAAAAATCCCCATACGGCTGCTCCTCACCTCATCTTCTGAGGATTTCATGTATGGTGCTCAATATGGACGCGCGTGTCCCATTTACAACAATTAAATCATCCCACACTATTTAACTATAAATAAATAAATAAAATATTGGTCTAGCCTAATGTTCATTTGCTAATGGGTAACACTTAACAATCATACTCTCATATTCCAACATATTCGCGTTCTTTCATATCTATATCTCATACTAAAATATATAATATAAGTAATATTTAGTAGTGACGAATTTATATATGCATTTTTGGTCAAATTATGATTATGTAACCAATACTCTCCCTAACATCATTTGCATGTCTAAGGTTCAAACAGTAAGGCTTTCAACAACTTACCCGCCCTCCAATCTCCTAATGGTCAACTCATTAAAAACAGAATTAATGACAGTAAATTACAATAAACAATATAATTAATCAGCTAATTAATAATTATGTGTAGAGACTAGAGAGGGAGATGAACTTACTTTGAGGATGACGAAGAGGAGAAGTAGTCGAAAATCGACGGCAGCAGGCGACCAAAGAACCCGAAAGCCGAAGACAACGAGACGAGCGACGAAGTCCCCAAACACCCCCTCGACTCGGCCACTTGCCCCAAGTTATTCAAATAAACCAACCCAAGCGTTGCCCCGAACAAATACACGAAAAAATACAACCAAAACTCGACCCGTCTCAACATCATCAAAGGCCTGATCTCCTCTCCTTCCCCAAAGCCCGGCCCACTCTCCAAGTCACACTCCTTGTCCACCGACAAACTCCCGCCCGAGTACTCCTCAAGCGAACCCTCGTCGTGTACCCTCAACAAACACTTCTTCTGCACCATCTCCCGAGCCCACTCGACTAACGGCACGGCCAACGGCAATAGCAATAACACGAGAAAAACGGCCACGACGGCCGACGCCGGGAGGACACGTGGCGAGACGAGACTCGCCGCCACGCCGAAAATGCCAGTGAGAACAGTGATAGTGAAGAGTGTCCGGAAGCCGCCGGAAAGGACCCGGGATTTTTGCGGGTTTCGGGCGAGTATGATTGGGGAGACTAAGAGGCAGACGGCGAGTGGGACTAGGGCATTGAGGAGGAGGAAGAGCTCGGAACGGAGGGCCGGGGGGCGGTGAGGGCCAGCAAAGAGGTGGACGGAGTTGGTGTAGAGGGCGGTGGAGAGGCCGACGTAGGCAGTGGAGAGGCCGACGGCGATTTTGCGGTCGAGGGGGAAGTTGTTGATGGCGAGGAGGTAGGAGGCGGTGTTGAGCCAGGAGACGCTGTTTCCGGCGAGGGCGGAGAGGGTTAAGAGGGCGGGGT